TCATGAATTTTCTGACTCTAGATTCGTACAAGTGTGTTTGTCACGAAGTCTATAGCACGCATCCCGAACAGTGGAGACTTGGTTCTTACAAATGATGTGGGGTAGGGATGGGGCATAGATGTTAGAGTAACGGGTAGGAACGGGGACATCGATGGTAAGTTACAGGAAGTGATAGCGACTAATAAGAGCTGATAACCGGCGGTTCAGACATGCATGTATCTCTTGGCAGTGGAGTACATTGTATTCCTGTCCCTTTGCCGGTAAACACTGCGTGTTATACCGCTAAACTGTCTGGGGTTCGATGGAAGTTGCTTACCACTAGAGCGGTCTGATTAGTAGTGATAAGTGGCTTCGTCACTACTACTGTAGTCCTTGTTACCATTACTGTAACTATCTTTCGCTGACGGCGCTAAAAGAGCTATAAGAGAGGCCTCAATGCTGCAAAGGAAAACTCACTAGGTCGGAGGGTATATTTGAGCAACTACGGAGGAATTCTTCAGAGCCGACTCACAGAAGGGAGCAGGAGAAAGGGGGGCGTGGGCAACGGTTGTAATGAAAAGAGGTCAGGGTGAGTATCTTCTGTTCCTTTTAGCCTATTGTCTCTAAACAAGTCTCGATTTCCTCTCATGTCTGTAAGCTACACATCGGGAACGCTATCGTTCAAATACCGTGTCCCTTGGACTACCCTTTCGGGGACCCTCGCCCAGTTTCTCGCATCCCGAGAGACGAACCAGCTAATTCTTTTCTTGTGAGCTTCTATGAACAGGCTGAGTCCGGGGGTGGGGGCCGTTGGTCGCTTTGGTGTTCGCAGGACGTCTCGCCAGGAACTATTCCTCAAATTCACGTCCACAATCAGTGGTGGTGAGGGGATTACATACCAGTGAAAATGTAGGAAATGCATCCTCGATAGTGAGTGGAAGAAAGAAGAGTCTTCCGTCCTACATAAGACTCCTGTCGGGTTGGTGCGGGCACAAGATGAAGTGAATTTAAGCTTGGACGAGTTCCCCTGTTGGTATCACTACGGTATAAGCTCTTTTCCTTATCACCTCACTCTTAACATTCGGAATGGAACAGGGTAGAAGAGGACAACTGTAGCACTAAGAAGCCTCTAGAAATGAACGTTGGGTGCGGTTTCGGGCAGGGGCGGGGTATTACCTTCGTCGTTACCAGGTGGGGTCATTATCACATGTTTTTGAGCCGTGAAATAGCTACACCCTTTATGCTTATGGTCACGACTCCCATGCTCAACAGACCCGCACCATCAGTGGGGATGTCATGATAATTCTAGTAATCTTCTATGGAATTTCCTTGATTTGTTTCACAACTTCAAGCAAACAAAGATGAAAAGAAAGGCGCCGACGCTTTTTTTGGAACATTCAGGAGAGTTCATGTCCCGGAGCTGATGATAAGACCGCGATGTTTGACTGGACTCGAGCGAGAGATGGAGAGCTGAAGGAAAGCAAAGGCAGTGGTGACTTCCGGCGATCAACGACGAGATGAAGCGAATATGTGATTAGATTTGGACCCAACGACGAGATGCACAGGGTCCATTGTAACTAAAAGAAGCTAAACGATTGCAGCGTTGATCGCATTCCATTCCACAGTAGAAAGTTCTACCTGTATCCGGACCAATTGGCTTCGGGGTCATAGTGACGCTCACAAACCCTTTCACATCGGCCCAAATATGGATGCACATGGATAACAGCTTTGAGAAACTACTTTCAACGCTCAACACACCATCACATGGCTGAGCGACCCATAAGATGAACGTTATGACTCACTTGATGGTGTACCCATTGAAAGGCTTGAGACGGTCGCTGAAATGGGAATTTGTCTGGAAGCGCCACACTATCTTTACTGCAGCAGTGCAACTTACGAGGTTTCGGTGCCTTGTTCGCAGACATTACGTCACCACTTACAAGTTATGTTTGGGCCAGAATGAGTGCTTCCTCTGAGGTACTGTCGTAAACAGTATTGATAGCCGGGATGCTATCAGAGAATGATATCATTTTCCAGCGTATCCCACTGTGATAATCTGCGTTTCGAGAGAAGAGTGATAAATGTGCGGTTGGCTGCATTGCTGTCATCTCAGCCCACCATCGCTTTGTGGCAGCCAAACTTGCCAAAAATGATCCCCTCCCTCTGAAATGTCGCTCCTATCTGGCGCGAACTCCTTTTTCGCACCTTGCCCCATACCATTTACAAAAACTTTAAACAGTGCTTTTCTACGATTTTTGAGTTCACGCGTGGAGGTAGACACCCTCTGGTCAGCGTCTCTGAAATAATAGTGGCGTCATCCTCAACGGCGCGGGGGGGGGGGAGCGGGTGGGATTATGTGGACCGTAAAGCGCAGACAACTGGGAGAATCAACAATCAAAAATTACGGCGAAATATGTTCCCTGATCCCCGTGGTGTTTTTTACCCAAAGGATGAGGAACTCCGGAAAAAAAAACAAAAAAAATGCTAAAAGTACCAGTTTGGCTAACGCGCATACTGCGCGCATGGTTAAACCCATGGTACTGGTCACTGAAGGGGGGGGGTTTCTCTGCTGAGCACCACACTTGGCCCAATCCCCTTGTTTCGGAATACGGCCCATTTCATCGTGCGTCTCCCTTTTAATGACCTTGCCAATGACTGGGCTTATCACGTTTCTTGACAACACTCGCCATTCGTTGGAAATAGGAAAGCTTAGCGGTGAAAGAGTTTGGGGGTAATAACAGACGCAGAGTGAAATGTCCTCACATCCTAGTACATACCTTAAGCAGCTTTTGGGACTTTTACTTTTGTCGAAACTCGAGAGTTTAGCGGTCGAATCAATTCCTACTATATCGCTAAGGGATAGAAACATCTTGGCTCACTAAGCCTTTGCCCACAGTTTCTTTGGCCAAGGTGATGTGACCATATACGGACTCCTAAAAGCCCTTGTCGGACACGACCTGAACTTATCTCCCACTACTATTGTTACCTTACTTGCTGGGGGCAATTCTCCAGTGTGGCTACAACTATGCTGCGAATTTTTGGGGCTATCTTATCAGCTGTTATCACGTCCTGCCACCAACCAATAATGTTCCCATCTTGCCCACTATCTTACTCCTTGGAACCGAAGTCCTAGCGTCGCTGTGAAGCACGTTATCAAGTTGATGACCCTTCCCTTCTGAGCTCCTTATGTTATCTTGTCAGCCCTTATCGCTTCCTGCCACCCATCACTAATGTTCCCATCCTGCCCCCTATCTTACTGCTTGGAACCAACGTCCCGACGTTGCTGTGGCCGGCGCTATGAATTTAGTGGCCCTTCCCTTCTGAGGCTCCTTATGTTATCTTATCAGCTCTTATCACTTCCTGCCACCCATCACTGATGTTCCCATCCTGCCCCCTATCTTACTGCTTGGAACCAACGTCCCGACGTTGCTGTGGCCGGCGCTATGAATTTAGTGGCCCTTCCCTTCTAAGGCTCCTTATGTTATCTTATCAGCTCTTATCACTTCCTGCCACCTACCAATAGTGTTCCTGCCCGACCTCCTACATCACTTATCAGTTTGAGCGCACAATCGCTGTTTTGAAGGAAGTTATGAATTTCCGGTCAAACACATACAGACACACAAACATACATTCACACACACAACACACCAACAGACAAACTTAGCGGATTATATATAGTAGGATCTTATAGTTAGAGCTGTGGTCACAGCAGTATTCTTCGCAGAGGATAAAGGATAAAGTCATCGCCGTTGACCAATTCCGTGCACGCATTCCATGTCTAATCAGAATCGTAGGCGCTCAGTGAATGTGAGGTTGCCCATACAGTGACCTGAGGGATCAGCCGATAAATCAGTGTTCTCATCCTCCTAGACGCAACAAAATTAAAGACCCGTATGTCAACCAATAGAGCTGTTGGTTGGCGATATGTTCGAATCGATGTGGCCTCCATGAAATGGAGGGAATCCATAGGCATTCTCTGCGACAGGCCATGCTCGCGAATGCTCAAGTGCAAGAATGTACTTGGCAGAGGTGAAGTCTGCAATGCTCCACTGCATCGAGTGCAGGCTCATACACAAAGAACCATGAAAGGCAGCTCCACTCAGCTGAAGATGAGAATGCTGAGATGGACCTGCGGCTATACACAACCAGACAAATTCAGAAACGAGGACGCCAGGGCGGTCACGGCCCCGATCCAGCTAAAGGCGCGAGAGCAGCGACTAGGGTGGTGTTAGCACGTACTGAGGAGGCATGAGGACCACCCGATAATGAAAGCGCTGGACTTCGGAGTTCAGGGTAAGCCACCACGAGGAGCCCCAAAGAAAAGATGGAGGGACGTCGCTAAGAAGTAGCTCACTAAAGTGATTGCCATGAAGGTGCAGTAGATCGAAACACGTGGTGACGTCTGACCCTGCAACTATGCAGGACTAGCGCTAGGAAGTCCTAAGCTGAGCGGACAACTGTTGCACATGGTGCCCCTAACATTACGCCGAGGTGGCACATGACGACAGGTGAGGAACAGAGTTGGCGTCACTCTCTATTCTCCCCTCACCAGAAAGCCACCTCTCATCGGCTTACTTATGGTGCGTACACGGACCGGCACATTTAGTTTCACCGCGCACCTACGGTGCGTACACGGACCGGCACATTTAGTTTCACGCGCGGTTTCGGGGGTACTGCATAGACGGACGCGAATCCATGACGGGCGATATGGAGTTTCTAGGTCCTCTTAACACCCAAATTCAACAGACGGTTTGGACAACTCGAACGGGTTGGAGAACTCGTCCGTCGGGAGCGACGTCGCTCACCATAACCAGCGAGGCATACTACGGTTGCCTTGTCGGATGCCTATTGCAGCGACATCTTATTAGGGGTGGAGGGAATCATTGAACAGTGTTGATGATTCAAGGATATTTCGGTCTTCTGTCCGATGACGTAATAGTCAAATCACGGTTTACAAGGTCTTTCAGTCATTCACTGATTTATCGTTAAGACACACGCTTAAGTTGATATTTGTAAGTATTTTAGTCTTCTCTTGCTTTATGGTATCCACCTTCAGAAATTTTTGGATTCTCCTGGAAAACAGTCAGTGAATTGAACTTCAGAATTTTGTTAAAAGGCGAGAAGCATCGCTAAATGTAGGAGGATAGGCAAGCTGACCTTATTTATTCTTGATCTTCCCGTTTGCTTGTAATCTATACCACAGAGGTGGGCCGACGGTAGACGATGCTTTTTGCAAAACCTCTGCTCGCAAAGACACCGAATGTGCTGTTCAGTCAAGGCCAGTTTTCTGTGGCAGAACTAAATGCAGAACTATACCTTTGGAAGAGAATTTCATGGAAAAAAGTGGGGAAAATCCCGAAACATGGTGGCTAAGGGGGTGGGACGATTGGCCAGTTGACGGAGGATGCGGGCTCGTACCATGGGAGAGAGTTTCGAGGAGGAGGGAAGATCGTACTTTAAATTTTCCTCAGCGGCAGGGAGCGAACTAGGACTGCTTTCGCATGCTTGTTCCCAAAAAAGGTATCCAGGATGCAGAACGTCTACGAGCTTGCAAAACTCGCCACGCTGCCATTTTCTGACACGAGCACATGAGATCGTCCTACGACGCTGCAAGCGACGCAGGCGCTAAACGGCTGCGTCAATCGTTCTTTTGTAGCCAATAAAGTTAACTCTAAGTTAGTATGTTGTTTGATAACTGCTGTTTTACGCCGCAGTCATTCTCGTAATAAAGTTAATACCGTTAAAGGTCACACGTATCTGGCGTCTCCGTCTAACATTTTTAGTGACGGAAGTGGCACACTCTCTGAAAGTGCAAACCTTGCTTCCAAGTGCACGGAAGTATTTCGGGGACAACTATCACGTTAATTGTTTCGGGGACAACTATCACGTTAATTGTCTTGAAGGCAGGAATCGAACCTATAGTTGCTTACTCTTGCGACAAACGTCTGCCTTAATTTCTAACAGTTCATCTATGTTAGCTGGTGGCATCATTAAATTATTCCTTATTATCTCGAGATTCTGGTGGGTCGAAGAAAACCTGAAAAGCTTGAAAGTGTGTAAAAAAATATGAGAAAGTTCCATTTCCAGGTCCACAGCATTGCTATTACAAATGAAATTGTGATCTTCAGAACTGAAAATGACACACCTTCAGCTGTTTCTCAGTTAATGTTTGTTCATAAGGAGCTGGAGCCGATTTTTGTAGAGGATTTTGACGTGGATTTTGTGTCGCTACTTGAGCTTGAAGAGACGACATCAAGTCTGAGTAGTAGTACACGGTGAAGTCATCTACAGGTTTCCAGGTGCTGTTCATCTTGGAAGGATGGAGGGAATCCGCATTTTCGCTAGCTTCACTTGCTAGTTTCTGTTAAACTACCCTTCACACCTACCTGAGACCTGTAGACTCTTGTCAGATGTAAACGAAGCTTATGCCAGGTACATCTTCACAGGAATTCACAGGTCTTCACAGGAACTCTCAACAACGATCGGAGGGAACCAGCGAAATGTCCCCACCAAGCCGGACAGCGCCAGATTTTATCCTCACCAGCACACAAAAACACCGCGCACACACGTTCAAGATTGGAATTCGAATAGAGTTTGCTATTGCCCGATATGCAAAAACTCTTCTTTGCATAAGATGGGGCAGTCGCAGTCACAGGGAAGTGCTCCTCCACCTCTTGATTTTCGTGGTTGAGCAGAACGCCAACCGTCTATCAGAGGTTTAAACAGCCCCTGCTCTCACAATCATCCTCCATCCTTTAACACTTCGCCATCAGACTCCGCGCGCGTCGACGTGTCCTCTCATCCCGGAGTCTGAACGCTATTTTCCAATGGAACAGGGTATGTGGCAAGAAAATCGTAATTCGCCGCGCCAGTAGACGTCGCGTGCGATGTCGCGCCCTAACAACGATTTCAGGTGGTATTGGTCGAGAAGGACAATGTATGACTAAAAATAGACATAAGTGTCTACCATAATCTTCGCTTCATGAAGCCCGCGCTTCAATTGAAAGGGTAGTGCAAATCAAGGAAACGTCGCGCTTATTGCCGCGCGCGACGAAGCTACAACTTACGATTCTCTTGCCCGTCTCCCCTCAAAACAGGCGTTCTTTACAGGGGCAATTCGACTGTTTTCACTTTTTTCTTCGCTATCAACTTATTTATTGCCATGAATTCGTTTTCGAAGCTCCCCGTCCATAAATGGAGTCGCGGGTTCTGCCCATAACTGAGCGATTACAAACCTCTTTTCAGTGTCAGTCTGTGTGGGTGTCGGTGATGCTCTTGATGAAGCTTCCGTTAGTATCTTCCTCGTTGTTCTTGTCCGAAGAAGACGCTGAAGTCATGATAGATTTCTTGAGAAAAAAAAACCTTGCATCCACACTGTTTGAATCCCACTACTGCCACTCGCCTAAGAGGTTACGAGTAGCGACAATATCGCCCCTACCTTTTGTTGCATCCTACCTGAGCATTAGACTCAGGAAATACTGAGGGGAGGGGGGTGGGGTGGCGAGTAAAGTACTCGAATGAGATGAGTTTCATACTTGTGCGAGATTGTGACACCACAAAATAAGTACCCTCATGCGATTTCTTGTCAACTCATGCTCCATCTGTTTCGCTGGTGTCCAGGTGGTCGAGTATTCCTTTGAGGTATCAACTTTCCCACGGTAGATGGGTCGCCTAAATCAAAACTTTTGTTATTTGTCAGCTCAATCATGAAATCATCTTTCACCTAGTCATAAGGCAGCATTGGGCAGTATTGGAAATCGTATCGGCTAAGGGAAAATCCATAGGCAAGGAATTTGTCTGGGAGTATTTGAACAGGGCCACAACCATGTGGCACATAAGGCAGAGCAGAGTGCAGCATCGGGATGGGTAAAATGTGGTGACCCCCCCCTCACCCCAAAATAATTTCATTATCCAATGCGAGCACCCCCCCCCCCCCCTTTCCCCAATCCCTGCTACCATAGTCCGAATCCTCCAGCCTCCGTAGCAGTCTCCCAAATATTAAAAAGCTGGGGTGAAGCGGAAGGGGGAGGAGTGTGGAAGTCGTTCCCGATCAACTACCAAAACCAACCAACCAAAATTAACTATGAAAAATGTAACTTCACAGTAGTTCTGCGTGGTTCTGCTTCGCTACCAAGTAGGAAAATTTCCTCTCAATTTCAGTTAGGGTCCCTAGCGCTCGATTACGATCTTCAGCGCAAGCAATATAACCATCCCGATGGGATCCTCCTAATGGCACTGCATCCTGTGTCACAGGGAGCACCCCTCTCCCGTAACTTCAATGGAACCATCAGTAAATTTGTTGTAACATCTGGTCTCTCCATGCGTTCACATCTCTGAATATAATCCGGCCTAATCGCATCTCATTTATGTGAGCCTTTTTGCTCTCTTACTCTTTTAGGTGTGCCTTGATTAATACGGTGAATTCAGGTTTTCCCTTGCACGAGCATTGATGAGGATTATGACTGCAGACAATCTTTGGAGGTAGCATTACTTACCCTCGCACGCTTGTCATCTGCTTGATGGTATTACGCAAACTCGGAATACTTCCTTGTTGCATGACCAACGGCATGAAAAGCATGCTCATGTTGACATGGGATCTGAATATTTCTCACCTGGGAATGAAAATTCAGAAGAATGTGGCATAGCCGGGAGGTAAAACTTCAAAATAATATGGATAACTAGCAAGCAATCGTGTGGCAACATCCCAGCGAATTTTGTTGAAGGGCCCAATCTGTCGAAGTTAAATGCTCTACTCATCAAAAAGGGAAATTCCCTGTGATGGTGAGCTTCCCCATCTCGTTCACTAAAGGGCTCCTTCTCATTGGTCAGTTGCCGGCTTTGCTCCCGCGATTGACAGCGGCTATTTTAGCTCTCCCAATAGTCCCTCATGACCAAGCTTCGAGTGCGAATGCGACTGAACTACAGTCAGTCTCAAGCTGCCTCGGACGTCTCTGGGAGGCTAACAGCACTTTACAGTGCACAGCAGATTGCTATGTGAGCCAATTTGCATTCTGCGGCCATTTTCATTTTGCATCGAAGTGGAGAATGGGGTGCGTTTCGGATAACGTTAGATTGAAGGCGGATTTCCAGCCGTTTATAGTTACTTCTTCATTCAATTTACCTAGCCTCTTAAGAGCCGGAATTTATCACTATTCCTTCATTCAACTTACCTTGCCACTTTAGAGCCGGTACTCATCTTTATGTTTAATGTGATGTTGCAGTCTTTTGTTATTCCGTAAGTCGCTATGGTATTGCTGTCATTCCTGCAAGTCGAATGTTTGGTGACACCGGGAGAATCCAAACTAACATCCTCGCTAGGAACACGCAATGTCTGCAGCTCAGGAAAGTTTTAGCAGTTACACTGTATGAGCTACTATAAAGCTTACTTTAATTCGACGTCATTGTACAGCAACACCTGCTTATCAGCTGGTACATCAGTAGCGTCGGCGACAATACTTTTCAATTCTGCTACTCTACATAAAGGAGGAACCAAAATTTTTGCCTGAAAACCCATAGGCCGGTCCTTTCAACAGGTTCATTCTTATAATTCAATCTATAATCACAGTCAGTTAGGGCGGTGCCAGGAGGCATGGAACGAGCCCATCCAACGTTTCCAAACTCCTTGTTTTCTTGCTGAACCGGTTGCTTGGTAGAAAATTCAGCTGAGACGGGCTCACTCCATCTCTCTTGACATCGTCCCACTGATTGCGACGATATAAACTATGTACAGACACTAACAGTGGGTGGCACAGTGCCAATTACAACGGAGCCGAAGCAAATGTGAAGGAAATCCCCAGTAGCACTTTCTGGATGTGAGACTAACACGTACAGTGCAGTACCCCATGAAAGCAATCTGAATGACGGCACTCTGCTAGCTGCTTGAATGCAAGTGCTGTAATCTTGTTCTGTCTCCTTTGGTAGTGATTATACAGTTCAGTTCGCTGCCGACGGTTGGGCGTGTCAGGCGGGATGAGTTTGGCGCGGTGCCAAACCCGTTCTCCACCAGTTGTTGAAGCGAGCAAGTGATATGACTGTATCATATCGTTCGTATTACTCGTTTTCTACCACTTTTTGCGCATGCGCGCTTCAACAAGAAGGCAGAGAACGGCTTCTGACGGCATGACACACTCATACTGCCTGACACGCCCAATTGTCGGCAGCGAACTATCGGCAGCGAACTAGAGTACACATTTGATTAACCATCTCTCAGGCTGTATTCACACTTTACAGCGGCATCCACTAACGCCTACTATCGTCCACCAGCGACCATCAGCATCGACCAGCGACCAGGAGTACGGTATTGTGAAGCGGTACGGTGCGTTTGCGCACGCCTCAATTTCATGGCACCCAATTATTTGTCGGTTGCTAAGAAGCCTTTTCCATTCCGCTCTCGACTTTGGCTCAGAAAATGTCTTTGTGCCACCCCTTGTTAGCGTCGACATAATGCTGGAGGTGCGAGTCACTAATCTAATTTTTTGCTTTACTTAGTCCAGTGCTTCTGAAATGGCCCCCTCTGTACTGTACTGTATGCTTATCAGTTATTGCGATTGCGATCACTAGGGGGGAAAAAAGTCACTTTGCTTCATTGACTTTCGAGGCGCTATAAGTTACACTTTATAAATTCTGATCGGACATTTCTACCACCATATTAAAGAGCATATTAAATACTATTATGACACTCCGCCACAGCCTTCTGGAGGAGCGCCATCGAGAGATTCTGGCACGCGACCGCGATGTGGTGCCTGAGATCAGCGAGATAGTCGATTTCTCCGCCACCGTAGACCACCCTATTGAACTCCGCCCGAACCGGGTAATTGAGGGGACAATGCTGTAGCAGTACAAAGTTTCCAAGAAGGTACGGGCGACGACATGTGGGGAGGATATTCTTCTCGAGTTGCTCGATGTAACCGCCAGCGCTCACCTTCAGTCCGGGGTCCACGAAGAAAATATTGGTCTTTCCATTCCACGTCCGGTCCATACCATCAACCCGCGCCTTGGCGACTGTGGTGAAGATGATGTCCTAGACCGTGGCGACGTTGTCGGAGCTGCTCGATGTTGGAGGTCTCCAGATCTGGTCTCCAGGTAGCTATCCATGGGTGACTCCATACTAGAAGTTTCGCAGCTGTTTGGAGGTGACATGAATTCCAAAGGTCTTCTCCAGTCAGGCTGCGACTGGAGATGACTTCATATTTTGGTGTACATGAAGGTGATGGGCGAGAGCCAGCTCCTGCTTATCGAGGAACATCTTGGGTATCTTCCGCCCTGGTACTCGTATCCACGTCCTCTGTCTGGGCAGCGAAAACTTTGCTGATATGTGACTCGGTCGAAGTGACTTTTTTGCCCCCCCTGTATATGTCGTGGTGGATATGCCTATTTGAGCTGTTTTTCTCCCCAATTAACTCTTATAGACTCCGCATTCCTCTCAAAAACAAAACCAATGAGGCGGGAGAATTGAAGCTCCTTTCTAACAGCCACAGTCTTATTCGCTGCGGCTGCTTGGGCGTTTCGAAGGGTTAGGCTTGGCGCGACGCCACCTCGTTCTCCGAAAATTGTAGAAGCGGGGCAAGCAGCAACAATCGGTTGAGAAAGTGATGGTGCCATACCATACTCGGTCCCCTGACGCACCCTAGCAGCCCCAGCGGAGGGGTCTTTGAGGGGGTAGTTAGCTTTCAGTCTTTTTAGAGAGAATCTGCCGCCTTGCCAAGACTGGTCGTAAACGCTGGTACAAAAAGCGATGAATGTCCTTCAAAAGTGCTCGAGAAACTCAGCATTCTCCAGACGTGCTTAGTGAATCGCATCTCAGGAAAACACAGAAATTGGATGACAGTAATTCACTCCTTGCACTCCTTCCATGATGCTGGTTACAGTTATTTCCAAGTAGTTCAGGAGACAACCGTTTTGAAGGAGGATCGAATCTGAGTGATCGACCAGATGAGCGCCCTGGAAGTTATTCATGAACAGAAGTATTGCAAGAAGCATTTATTGTGTGTGGGGCGTTGGTATTTAACGTGGAAAATTTGTGGACCAAGACGCTCTCTACACTTGTAGCCATCAAAAGGCTGTACCTTATCGCTAATGTCTGGTGGAGAATGCGCATGGTTTCTTTACGGTGGGTCAAGGATATAGTGAAAGAAGTGGCGGTGCTGGATGTTCCCCTCAAACTTCTTCTTCTGTTGACTTCATTCCCCCCATTCCTTACCACTCATTATCTTCTCTCAGCTTTCGACGAAGCAGAACACTCCCTTTGAAGAAAGCTCCAAGAACAGTTCACAGTGATTCGGAGTCAAAATGTGCCAAAGGAGTCCATCATTTCGAACGATTTGATAGCAATGTAACCTGAGTTTAAAGGCAGTTGGCACGATAAATATCCCCAAGACGAGTAGGATTAATACGCCTGGCAGGACGGAATTCCGCGACCCTGAGCAGGCGCTGCATAATGCCTTTTCCAAGGAAGGTGCCCTTATAAGGGCCCTATCAAGCCACAACATTCCGACCCAAACGCCCGCCACGCCCGCCCGCCCACAAATGGACGACCGTTCCTGACGCTCTATCGATTCATTTGCTAAGCAAATTATGAAGCGAAGGGATTGGTATGAAGCGGCCGTGATGCTGCATGCATACATGGGTACACATATGCAGCCGTATCTTCGGTAGCGGTGATTGGTAAGATGCCTACGGGAAACTCGTCCGAAATCGATTTTGAAGTCACTGAGAACGGAGCTCTTTCTTTGCAGGATTTGGACCGTTTCACTCCGTTCTTTCGCCATTTCCCCCATTATAT